TCTTATCCCTACTTTTATTTTTGTTTTTGGACTGCAGCGGAAACAAATGGCTTTCCTTAGGCGCCATTATCCCTCCAGGTGCTCCCATACAACAGAGGGAAAGCAACTATTTAATCTTTATTTTTTTATTTATTTGCAAAAGACTACCTCTGAGTTATTCAATCTCTTCTAAGTGAACAAGGAAATCATGGCTTGAGTGACTGCAAATCTGTGGGTGTGTGATATGAAGTGCAGGCCTCCTGTGTGTGGGTTTGTTTGGCTTCATTTGGAGAAAGACAAAGACATAAAACTCAGAAGAGACAGGCTTGAATACTCTTGTCAGCTGTGTACGCGCACGGACTTTTGACACATTTATTAAAGTGCTTCAGATTCCAACATTTGTGAATGTTAAGCCACTCGCTGTCTTCGCAGCTATGTCAACACCACTGACATGTAGCCGGACAGCTTTAAAACTGATGTGGCTACAACACAGCAGCTGCTTTCTCTTGTAAGTGAAAATTAAAACAAAGGAAACATGTTTGTTTTGGTGGAATTAATGGAATAAATTAACCTTTTGAGAACTTTCTTGCCAAGAGATAGATAAGATCGATACCACTCCCACGTCTGTATGATAACTACACTCACAAGAAAAAGTTATTGCACTGTTTGCAATTTCCTGGTTTTCTGCATAAATTGATCATGAAATGTGATTTTGGTGAAGATCAGATCATGGTTCATGACCAATTTATGCAGAAAACCAGGAAATTGCAAACAGTGCAATAACTTTTTCTTGCAAGTATTTGACCCTAATCTCTGGGTCCAACTCAGTGAAACACCAGGGCGGGTGCCCACTTGATGACCCGGTTGACTTGTTTTCACTCTTACACCCACATAGGATTTGTATTGGGGTTTATGATAACACAGATATTTAACTCACAGTGGTTGTTATTGGTGTATTTTTCTTCTGATTCAGAATTTTGGTTGGACACTTGAGCGGGCCCAGCTCTACGTAGGATCAAGCCAGTTGGGCAGCTACTGTTAGTGCAGATACCGGGTGAGTATAGGATTCAGGCATGCTTTGTATTAAGGTCAGAGTGGAGACATTTTCTGATATGAGCAGGGTATGGTAGTTTAGGGCTGGAGAATAGCGTCCCAGGTAACAGTGTCTATGAAAACATTGTATGTGTATTTTAGATTAGGGTTGGGAAATGGTGTTCCTTATTTTGGGCCTCTGAAGATTTATGATGGCATGGCCTGACCTTCCTCTTTGTGTCCAAAATCCAAATCCTTTAAATCAGCCTGTATAACTGGTAAACTGGGGCTTTCCAAGCACAAATCATAATGATTTCCTTCTTTACCTTTAGCTAAAAAGGTCACAGCTGTGATTATCTGAATTCTACCACAAAGAGTCACATTACATCGAATTAACTTGAAACAAAACAAATTGTATTAATTGCATGTTTGCAGTCAGACCAGTAAAACATCTTCAGTGACTTTTTTATTGCAAATGTGTTACATGCTGATCAGTACCTAAACTGCATATTGATTTCCCTTGAGACAGAAACTCAATTACACTCTTTTGTATGTAAAAAGCAGATGAGAAGCTTCCAAAGCTTTCCACTTATTGCTTACTGGTGACTGAGATGCCCGTCCAAACAATGATCGTGGAACCAGCCAGTGTGGTTTCCACATATATTCAGCCATCTTAATGCCTGTGTGTGTATAAGATTCTCAGCCTCCTTCCAGACCACACATACCCTCCAAGGACACTTCATTAGAGGCTCTAAGAAAAGATTAAAGTCTTGCCATTCGAAAGGGGAATCCCTGTGGATCCTATATGCTGGGTGAGAAGAATGATGATGCTCACACACACACACACACACATATACACACACATTTGTACTTCTGTCTTTGTGAGGACACTCATTGACATAATGCATAGTCCCTAGTCTCTTTCCCTACCTTAACCATCAGAAATAAATGCCTATCCACAACCCTAGCCAAGTCTTAACCCTCAAAAAGGTGTTTCAGAAAGTGAAGACCAGCCAAAATGCTCTTATTCTAGCCAAAAATACTTTTATGGTCCTCACTATGTAGCATGTACAAGGACACACAAACAAAAGAAACCCTTATTAAACCTTGCCTTTGTCTGCTCAGTGTGTGAGTGGCCACAAATCTCCCAGGTAGTGTGTATGTGTGTGTGTGTGTAGTAAAAGAGGAAGAATATGTTTGTCTGTGTGGGCACAGAGCCACTGACGTCTGAAAGCTTCAGGTTATTACAGTGTGGAGAGGAGACTCTAACCCACAAATACATACACACACACACACACCCAGGAGGCATCTGTCCATTAGAGTAGGAGAGGAATGCATTTACACAGACAGAGATGAAGAGCCGCAGCCTCCGACATGGTCTAGCATTAGACAGACCTTATCCCCATTGTGTATGATGAATTCTTTCATTTGCACTGATTCGATTTTCCTGTTGCTGCTGCTACTGTGTGTGTATGTGTGTGTACCTGTGTATATGTGTGTACTATAAGCTTCTGTAAATAGCTGAAGTTAAGATATATAGTGATAGGTCTATACTATAAGGACACTGCATTATTTATAGTAATGCTCCTTACAGAATAGTTGTTACTGTATGCCATTTATTTTAGACTGTGTATTATGCCACGTGTGCAACACGTTACAGTGTATGCTACATGTTACATTACAAACACACCAACTCTCAGTTTTTCAGATCCAACAACTGTTTTAGTTTCATTAAAGCTGAAATTTCTAAACCATACACTTTACAACTGAAGTTACATTTTAATGGAGGAAACTATTACTGAACAGCTTTACTTCAGTATTTTATGCTACTACAGGCTAACCTTCCTCCACTACATTTACTTCACAGCTTTATAGTTACAAATAACTCTTCAGATTAAGATTTTACATACAAATATGTTCACCACATAAAATAAACTGCTACAGATCAAACTACCCAAAGGTAGGTCATATAATTCAAATTTTGTTTCACCCCCATCAACTATTAGCCTATACAGATCTCGGGAATATAAGGGAGGACAAACTATCGCGACACCTGGAGCGAAATTTTCACAGCGCACGGATCAAGTATGTGGTGCTTCTCAGTTTGTCATAATTAGCACATCACAAAGAGGGGGCAGCTTGTTGCCACTGAGCACCGAGGGTCTGCCCTGTAGGCGCAGACCGAGACTGAGGCTCATTTAAGGAAGGCTGGTGGCATTTGGCTGGCATTTGAGTTAGCAGTTCTATTTTTAAAAAAACAATAACAATAATAATGTCATGTACCATTAAAGATGTTTCAAAACTCAACTCAGACTGCAGTTCAGCTTCTCCTCTGAGTTACTGAATTCTTAATGACGATTTCTCATGAATTTATAATATACCCATATAGACCGCTGGGACATTTATATTGCACGATTTATTAAGTAAACCCCACAGCAAAATGAAAAACATATGAAATGATTTTATACAAAATAATAGAGCTAATAAAACATATATCGGAAAAGAACCAATGGAGTAGCAGAGCGTGTGCACTGCAGGTCGTGATAAGACGCACAGTAATTTTACAGTTCACTGAGCGTCAGGTTCAAGTTCTCAGATAGTCAGAGGTTTATTGAGCTCTTTTCATTTATTTTAATGCATATGTTTACATGTACTATTTCAGTGCGACACTCTATCTATCTCCCCCTACCCACATCTTTCTTTTTTTAAACCATTTGTAGACCCTTCCACGTGAACCCGACCCTCCCAGACTGAGCACTCATTCACATTTAAAGATCACTGTTGAGCCGATTTGGAAATTAGGCACGACTCCAGGCACAGATATAAACAGGCCGGAGCTGAAAACAGTGAAAACAAAGCTTGGATCTACTTGAGTGACAACTCTATTAGATTTGTGTCAATTAGAAGTCGCTTTTTATTCGAGTTGTCAGCAGTGTTTTGTTCAGTGGGTGGATCTCTTCGACTCTTAAAACAATAAATCAAAAGCAAACGGCGAGATTGATTTACTTGACAAAAACAAAACAAAACAAAAACAAAAAGCAGCTGACAAATATCATTTTTAATATGTTCTTTCGTTGTCCTTAAACACTATGAGTCAGGAGTGCTGAGTTGTGCACTGGAAACAATTTGAAGGGAGGATTTGCTAAGGTTTTAAACACGTTACCAAATCACTTTTCAGGTGAAATGTCTGATGAATTAATGAATCGTTTCATGAATTGCCAAACTATCTAGATTGTGCCATCGATTGCAATGGGTTATCAGGAGCAGTTTGTGAGTTGGACCAGAGGGTTCACTGTCTCCTCGTCTCTCCTGCTGCTGGTTGGAGGCGCTGACCGTGGTGCTGAAGTCTGGATCTAATCCTCACCATTTCCATCTTTTTACTTTTAATCATATAAGGTTACAGTAGCCACGCTTATTAGTATAATTAACCTGTCCATCCTATTGATGCTCAGGTGGTTTCAGTCCTGGGTACCTGTGCCGGGTCACCACACTCACGCATCCATGGTAAAGTTGTTATACCCTATGTGGACGTCAAGCAAATGTAGGCAGTCACATAAAAAAGATGGACTTTGGAGAGTATTTCTGCACTGTAGTCTTTTTTTTAACCAGTGCTCTCCCGTCTTTCCTCCCAGTCTGTCGACAAACAGGACAAAGGAAAATTTTGACATTTCTGTGCTAATACCAGGGGTTGACATTTGGCTCTTTGGTTTATTTCTGACGCTAATAAATGGTGAGCAATGAAAAAAGTGTTGAATATTGAATCTCTGATTGCAGAACTGTGATCCTTGGTCATTGCGTTTACAGTGCGCGTCACTCTCCTGACATCAGCACACAGTTTAAATACCTACTTCTGGTGCGCCACTCCTTCTTGTGTGCGCACCAGAAGCCGCACACACACGGACAACAAAACAATCACTTAAATGTAAGACACTTATGCCTTTTAGGAACCAGGGTAGGCTATTTTATGAAGTAATTATGCAGTTGATGATAGTTTATTTTGAGTATAGCTCTACAGTACCAGAACAACTTTAATAAATAGAAGGGAAAGTTCCTGCACTTAAAAAAAAATGATCAACGCCACCGTTGCGATTGCAGAATTGGACACGAATGTTTCGGAGCTGCTGTCGGGTCTCTCTCTCAGCCGCAACCACAGTGCGCTCCGGCTGGAGTCCAAGTCTCTGGTTACGTCAGCCACAATGTTTGCTGTAGGAGTCCTGGGGAACCTCATCGCCATAGTTGTGCTGTGTATCTCCAAAAAGGAGCAGAAGGAAACCACTTTCTACACTCTGGTCTGCGGGATGGCCATCACGGATCTGTTGGGCACATGTTTCACTAGCCCGGTGGTGATTGCCACATACGTGGCCAGCCAATGGCCGGGAGGCGCACTGCTTTGCCACTTCTTCTCCTTTTCCATGCTGTTCTTTGGCTCAGCCGGGATGTCCATCCTGTGTGCAATGGCTGTGGAGCGATACTTGGCCATAAACCATGCGTATTTTTACTCCCAGCACATAGACCGGACAATGGCGCGCTTCGCGCTCCTAGTCACCTACCTGACTAACATTGTACTGTGCATTATGCCCAGTTTTGGCTTTGGGCAGCACGTCAGGCACTTTCCCGGGACTTGGTGCTTTCTGAACTGGAGGGCGATGGATCCAGTCGGAGCCTGCTACTCCTTCCTGTACGGCGGTGTGATGCTCTTGTTGATCGCAGTGACAGTTCTGTGTAACGTGGCTGTGTGCAGGTCGCTGGTGGGGATGAACCAGAGGACAGGAATAGTGAGGACTGAGTTGTCTGAGACGGGAGGCTCACGTCGCCGCTTCCCCCGGCTACCTTCGGTCACTTCAGCCGCGGAGATCCAAATGTTCTGGCTTCTGATCTTCATGACTATCGTTTTCCTGGTCTGCTCCATCCCTTTAGTGGTAAGAACAAGGGCTTATTTTAAGCACAAGTGACCAACAGGTCGTTATTGCTGTTTATTATATTTTATAACACTTATGTTAGACATTCTCCCTGTGTTTCTGCCTGACAGGTGCGAATCTTCGTTAACCAGCTCTATGACCCTGCCTATATTTCTGCTGGGGGCAAGCCTGATTACCGGAGCGACCTGGTGGCAATCCGCTTCGCTTCATTCAACCCTATATTAGACCCCTGGGTGTACATTTTGTGCCGGAAGAACCTGCTGCAAAAGGGTTGCGAGAAGCTGAAGAGGACAGTGGCCCGAGTTAATGACGGTCGTAGTGACAACATTGGCTGGGTAGGAGGTCAACACTCCCCTCCGTCTTTAAACAGCTGCACCAGTTACGCGTCAATACGCACAGACAGTTACAGGAACGACGTGGAACACCCGGTGTCCATCAAGAATAAGTCCTTCACAGACTTCGCGCTGAGACAAGCGTGGGATTACGACACCGCCCGGGTCAACTTTCATCCGTTCAGCGTCGACTCGAACGCGATCCTCGGCTGTGAGGAGGAAACAGTAGTTGTGTCCAAACAGGAAGCGGCGACGAACGCGTCCCCAGCGCCGCTCCTCTCCTCTCACGTTAGAAAGGTGGACATTGTCACCTGCACGTTCAGCACTCCAAGCTCCTGCCAGTCAGCAAAATGCCTTTGACGGACAATTTAGAAATATCACCAAGTCTGGAAGCTGCACAGCAATCTGGCAGGCCCACTTGATCTAATATAAGACTTCTGCTGAAAGACATTAGATGACGTCTGTAGAGATACTTTCCAAATGTGGAAATGTACACACTTAAGATCATACCCTATGGGTACCAATAAAGGGTGTGATATTCTGAGAGTCTACTGTATGAATCCATGTGCCAATTGCTATTTGTGTTAATCTACTGCGCTGTTGTTGCACTGTGTTTCACACTGCTAATGCATACATTTACATGCTGCCAATTTACTCTGTGGCATTTTACAGTGGTGCAAGACGCAGGACAAACTGACCGTAGACTTTTCAACCTTGTTAAATCTTGTTTTATATCGCACATTTGCATATATTGTTTTGATAGTTGTAAACAGCCAAAGTGAACATATTGCCCATTAAAAACATTTCTATTGCTGCTCTAAGCTATATGACCTGCAGTGTTTGCTGGATGTGTTGGTCGATCTGTGCAGAGAAATTAAGTGGCAATGAAGACAGCACTAGGATCAGTTTTACCCATTGTGCTGGCTACAGGAGAATCCCACTATCTTATAGTCACCGTCCTCAGCTGGCAGACAGATGGCAGGAGAGCTACACCGCTTTCAGTTCGAGCCGGACAACTGGATCACGTGGCCTTTGCACCAGCAGGTGGCGCTACAATATAAAAGGTCTCGAGTAAATTGAACTGGTAGAAAAAGGAAAAAGTGTTGATACTTTTCACATCAGAAATAATTATTGGGATGGACAAAACCCCAATGAAGTCAGAATGAAGGTGTCTAAGCAGTGAGGTAAACAATGATATCAAGATGTATACTTAAAAAACTTTATTCCCTTAAGAGGATAATGCCATACAAAAATAAAGGACACTATACAATAATAATAATAAAAATAATAATAACAACAACACATACATACTGGGAGTATGTAATTGAATTCAATTATGTGACCACTTTAAAATGAGAAATGTTGAGGTCCTGTACTACAAATATTTCAGTTGTTTGCTGTATATACAAACTAGACAAGTAAAACTGACATCGTTTCAATTACGCCAAGGAAAAGCCAATAATATTACTCAGAATCTGCTACAGAACTCAAGATCACCTGTCAGACTCAGTGAGGTGCGTTTGGGAAAAATAAAATAGTAGTGCACCACACTACTATTTGTAGTCAGTTTGTTTCTGATATCCACTATAAGTATTTGTTAAAAGTATGTCTTTGAATGGTGTTTTTATTTTTTAAATCCCTGAACTAATTTAAGAAATCTTCATTGTGTCTGCCCAGAATCAGCTGTTCAGCCCAGGTTCATGAGGTTTTTAATAAATGTGAAAATCAGCACCTTTAGGAGAGAAATGTACGCACTGGATACAAGTCAAAGTAAGTGTCAACATTAAGTCTGAATCTTGGCAATAAATAGATATTTATCTTCAATATAAAGTTTATAAAAACAGCTCTCATATAAAGCAATAATAAATAAATAGTTTATCAGAAATAAATATATTTTACTTTTATACAGTAATACATGAAGATGCATGGCATCTATTTGGCTGAGTTCACCTGAACATAGAAACGATACAATGTCCCCGTTTGCATGTGAAATAAAAAATATACTGAGTGTTTAAGAGCTTCACTATGAGTATCGTTTTTTTACAGTCTGAATGTGAATATAAACACAGTGTCAGTCCTTTAACTCTGTTGGTTCTTTATGTATCTTGAGCTTCAGCCTTCAGGTCTCAGCCATATAAAATCAAAACAATCTGTGTTCACATAAAGAGTTGCCTTTATGAGTAATAGCTAGTCTGTTATATCCTGCATAAGTTATCAGTTATTCCTGTGAAAACAATTTCTCCTTTGATGCGCGAACAATAAATCCAGACTGATTCCTCAATGACCTCCCACTCAGTCTCCAATTTTAACCTTCGCCCTCAAATCATCCAGCTGCACCCAGATCTCTTCTTCCTCAACTGGAAATACATGACAGAAAGCCAAAAGTGGCCTCCATCCCTTCCTTCGCTCTCGGTGAGTGGCAGCGCCCCCTCTGCCGGTTTTCCTATATCCGGGCTTTCCACCGTGAGGTTCTTGACGTATCTTTCCAGGATGGGTGACACTGCTGTCACCCTCTCCCCTTGTTCATTTCTTCAGCCCATACACATGCAGCTGGCAGCAGATAACGACTGGATGGTTCGCCACGTGGTCTGGGCGTCCATGAAGGAAACCGACTCATAGCGGTCGGGCCGGCAGCAGGGGTGGCTGCTGACCTTGCGCTTAGGCAGTGAGCCATTTTCCAGCAGTGTCTTCAGTGCCAGGTCGTAATTTGTTCGTGAAGACTGGCATGAGCCCACGCAGAACTTAAAGAGGACAATCTCATCTGAGTCAAATCCTAGGCCCAGGTCTCGAACCCTCATCTCTCTCTTCTCCACGCGGCAGTCCCTGCTGCTTTGATTTGGCTGTCTGTTTTTACCTTTGTTATGTCTTATTACTGTTCCTTCCTCCTTTTCTTTCCTCTTCCTCTTCTTCCTTTTCTTCGATGATCCCTTGGGTTGAGGTTCTATGGGGTCAGAGGAGCGTGGAGAGCGCCCCGCCCAGGGTCTACTGGGATGGTCATCCACCTCTTCCATTACAAAGGGATCTGAAATGGAGAGGTATGAGGAGTGTTACAGTTACAATGAAGGACAGCATTTATTCAGGATAATTCAAAATGCTATTGTAGAATCTACTATTTTACTCTACTTTAAGCAAAAATGACTTGTCACCCTTTAAACTGGATGTAGAAGTATTTAAATGACCTCGCCCTCTGTCTACTGTAATACTAGTGACGATGTACTTAAAGTCATTTTCCTAAGAACTTCAGTACCATATAGAGCATGCCAAGTAGAGTAAGGATCACTGTCGTCTTCCTGCTCCTCGTCCTTCACCACCTCTGGCAGCGTCACAGGACGTTCCCGCCCCTCCTGTCCTCCCAGTAGGCCCACAGCGTGGCCTGAGGGTGATCCCACACCCGCAGCACCGGCTTTAACATGAGCTCCTTCCGCCACAGGCAGCAGAGAGAGCAGCACCCAGAGCAGCATCTACAAGAGACAGATGACATGTGTGAGCTGGCAGAAGGGAGTCTGAGCAATTTGTTTAATTGGCTTCCTTGCGTGCTAAAAGTTGGCATAACAAACAGATAGAAGTGTGAATGCCTTTTAAAAAAAAAAAAAAAAAAAAAAAACAACCTGCCACTTGGCCATGAAAGCTAATTAATGCAACTTTCTGATTAACTGGAACTTTTTAAGTACTTTTATTAATTGGTTTTTCATAAAGCTACATTAATTAAATTCTGGCTACTTGTGGGCAGAGCATCAAGCTGTAAATTTTATAAAGTTCATATAACAAACACGTTAGCAAACAGTTGGCAATTTACACACCCAGTAGATGCATTACCATAAATGTTTTTCTTTTTCTTATATTAGCATTTATTTGGAGTTGCATTTTTGTTCACATGGAAAATGTGTTCACTTTACTTTTCATTCACTTTTGGTCTCCAGCAAATTTTGAGTTAAATGTCTGACTCTTAGCTGCTAAATGCTAAAATAAGATCACTGCTTAGGGCCTAACTTTGTCTGTCTGGTGCTTGTCACTGAATTTATTTAGCTCTCTGTTGGGGCTGAAAACGCTGCTGATAAAGTCATGAGCGAAACAAAACCGTTAAGTTTTATGGCATAAAATCAATAAAAAATGAGCTAAAACACTTTATAGAACAGAAAGGAACTGAAAAGTTGGGCAATTATTATCTGTGGTGACCATCTCCACGTTACACAGTCATTAGGTCCACTGTTAATGTTAGAAATAAGCTCAGCTTTAAGGAGAATTTTAATTACACATTTTACTCAGGTACTGTTTGAAAAACAGGGACACACAGATCTGCTGTTTGCTTCGAGCTCTTTTCTTTCAAGCTTGTACGCTGCGTTTAGCCAGAGTGTCATATTTAGCAATATGATTTTAGCATATTAATTTATTTAGCATATTTTAGCAGAACCAGAGTTTCAGTTTTTATCCTAAGCTAAGCTAACCAGCTGCAGGCTGTAGTTTCATATTTAGCATACAAACACGAAAGTGATATGAAACTTCTCATCAAGGCAAATATGCACATTTCCCAAATGTGGAACTATTCCTTTAGAATTTTGACGACATACTGTACTTAATAAACGGCTGAAAGGCAAGAAGTCCAGAGCGGCTTATAGATCTTCAAGGATGCTTACATACAAAGAAATGATGGCCACCATCACCAAATGCATTGAAAAGCCATATTTATATTAAACTGGTTACAACTATGATGCCATATGGATACTTTCATGGTCATACCACATAACAAAGCCAAGTAAGCAAAGTACTTCACAAACATAAAAACAAATAATAATGAAAATGAGACAGTAAAAAACGAGAAAAGTAAGAAAAATAAAATCAATAACACTCATTAGAATAATACAGTAAATCTCATCAAACATGATCTCACTTCAGTAATAACTGCTGTCTTTCCGACCTGGGTCAAGGTTTGTTTGCTGGATTATAACTTAGCAATGAAAGCCTCTGTGGTTTTATGGAAACCTCAGCTCCGAGCTATGTGGGGATTTCATTACTAATTTATACCTACACATATCTTATGATTTGGCTCCATACAGTGGAAATTAAGGAGAAGGAAAGTTATTTGCAGAGACAGTGATCTCATATACACGACCAGTCAAACGTTTTGGACACACTTTCCCGTTCATGTCAGTGGGAAAATGTGGCCGAACCTTTGAATGGTCAAACAACAGTAAATAAGAAGAGTGAGGAAAGACAGAGACAGAGTGGGAGAAGTTACAGAAGAGGGGAGGAAAGTTTCAGGGTGCTCTGTTGGCGGCAGCGTCGCTTTCTGACAAACCTTGGCCTTAGAAGTAAGCTCTTGTCTGTCCTTCCTCCACACACTCCATCTGGCCCCACCTGCACGGAAAGAGAAAAAGAGGGAGAGAGGTATGTAAGAACAAGAACAAGCCTCCACTCTGTCAACTTTCCTCCTTCTAGAACTCTCTTTGAAAAGGGTAACATAAACTAAAGGCACAACATGCGGGCAATATAATGTCTATACTCTCACAATTGTCCAGATTCTGTAAAACAAAACAAAAAACAGCCCGGCGGGCCCCTGAGCAAGCCAACGTGTCACATAAATCACATCCTTGTGTTTGTTACTGCTTGAGTAAAAGACCAGTGTTTGCTGCCAGCTAGCGTGGCTAGTGTTGGCTTGTCGGTTCATCCAGCCACAGTCCGGCAACAAAAGGCAGCATCTGCAATATACTCGTCAAAGGCATTCTTCAGGGTTATTCCTGTGGCAGAGGTACAAGCAGGGGGAGCCAGGCACAGCAAGAGCACGTTGTGGAGGTCGCAGACAAAAACCACAGAGATGCAGAGCAGGTGATAAGAAGTGTCACGGATGTTTATATATAGTACGTGTAGCGAGGGGGATTGTGCTGGCTCCGGAGTGCTCGTATCATGAGGTCACCAGGTTCCTTTGTGGCCCCCCACATGTGAAACTCAGCGGAGGTCAGAGCATCACGTACTTCAAAAACAGGAGGAGCACTCAGTTACACGTTCCTCATCTATCTATGCCTCAGTTCTACAAGAAAGGATTGCTACAGGTCAGGCTGTCACCAGTCAAAGGATACATCCTCTGGGGACACAGATGTCTGTACATAATTTTATGCCGATCAGTCCAATAGTTGAGTTTCAGTCTGGAACAAAGTGATGGACAGACCGTAAGACCAGCTCTGCCAGAGCTAAACTTGTAGTGAGTGTGGTTTTTGTCCACTATAGGAATCTCTTCATAGCCGTTATGAACAACATCCAAATGTTTTCATGTACTTATGTGAGTACTGTAAGACTGACTTAAAAATGATCCTGTCATCTCTTGATCATCTTTTTTTGAAACCATTTAGTCCAGTGGTTGCTAACCTGGTGATTTAAGTCAAGTAAAGTGATGTGTGAGGTGTGACCTCTCATCATAAGTCAAGTAAAGTGATGTGTGAGGTGCGACCTCTCATCACCAGCTGCAAAGCCTACAGCGTCTAATGATTGTGACCAACTCGACCAGACAGTGTCTTTATTTTTCCTTTGTCTTATTTGAATATGTGAAGTCTGAAGAGATAAAACATTCAAGTAATTCAGAGGATAAAAAGCTAAGACACACTGAAAGTAAAGACTGAGAAGTGCCCATCACAAGTTCTTAGAGCCCAGTAGAACATCTACAAATTGCTAGATTTGTCTATTAGTCATAAATCCACATATATGTATATGTATGAAGCTGAGAATGAATGTTAATTGTTAATCTCAGAAACTGACAAAATAGTGTCAGGGTTTGATCATTTTAAAGGATCTTCCTGAATAGACTGAGTTTGCCCAGTTATTTTGTAGATGTTCAAATTAGGCATTCTCAGAGCCTTTTAAGAACTTCTCATCCATGTATTCTAAATTTATAACAATATAAATTAAGGCAAAGCAACAAGTCCTCTCGCTTGAAAAGGTGGAATCAGCAATTGCTTGATAACTGGCTTAAAGAAGTATCAAAATTGGTGTTCATTCATTGCATTTAACAGATTCAAGGATTTCTGATGACCGAGAACACGCTCTGGAGGCTTTTGGTTCATAAATACAGGTAATTGTGATTTTTCTGTTGCTTTAGAGCAGCCTATACAACTCACTTTCCTTTGTCTTTCTTTTCTTTAATCACATTTGTATGCTCTGTCTTCTCTGCCTCTTCCCTATTTTACTTTTTTGTCTTGTAAAAATCTTTGTGACGTCTGTTTTGAAACAGCCTTTGTCTCGCAGATCCTTCCGTCATCTCTGAAACCACATCTGTCATCTCTAAAAGAGCTCTTGTACAACCTTCACAGTGAATTACAGCAATGCTGTGCGCCCTTAGTAATGTTTTCGAGCATGTACTGTTCTCGGATGTGCAGATCTTGCCGATATGAGGTGCATCATGTTTATTTAAAAGTCAAAAACAGTACCGACAGTTCTGCCTGTGCAGTGGAAGACTGACAAAAGGTTATGGATCACAGGTAACGATAACACCTGCTCATGCGTTTATGTGATCCTCCATGTTCCAGCTGTGCCGATCCAGCCAAAGGAAAGTGAAGCTGCAGAGAGTGGGAAAGGAAACAAGAGGGCAAGGAAACTCCTTGGCTCTACATCTCCCTCCATCTCTGAGATGATTTAAAACTTAACAGCAGAGTGGGGTGGGGGCTGGGGGGGCAACGGGGTCCTGATTCTGACTGGGTCTCAGGAGAGGTGCCATTCTGAGTCAGTAATGCCACAGCTGTGAGTGTTTAGCCCCTTCTAGATCAGCAAGCCGGGAGTCTGCATGGGCCTATATGCTGGTTCATTTCACCACAGCACTGTGGAGCTGTTTACAGCCCAACGCCTCCGGCCTTTGCAGGGGGATGAGGCGGGTGGGGGAGTTGACGGGTGAACAGAGGAGGAACAGAAGGAGCGACACACTGGTCCTGAAGAGCGCCAGACTGGCACAGGCCTGATGATGTTGTGTGCATGTACAGTTTCAGATCCCACACACAGCACATGTTTCTGTGTATTTAGAAAGCCAAACATGTTTCTTCCTTGTTTGGCTGATTAAAGGCTTTGGTTTGTCCATCAGGCTATGTGTCTACAGCAGGGAGAGCAAAGATCTTGTCACCTTCCATTTGCATTGTCCTCTGTGCTCAAGTTGTTGTTCACAGTTAGTTAGCAGGGTAAGCCCAAAAGCCAGATCCAGCTACTTTTTCCAGAACCTATGCTGCCATTCTGAGTTGCTGTTCCAAATACTATTTACAGTAAGTGCTCAGAGAGGATGTTGTTCTGGGGATATTTATGAAGTAAAAGGGTTCAGGTATCAGCTTTAAAAGAAAGGCTGCCAGCACAAAATTAACACTGAGCTGCAGCAGGATATTTAGAGAGTTTTTATTCATTATTTCCAGAATTTGGACCTTTATTCTTCCATCATCATCATCTGATATTAACTGGATGACTATTGCCTTAAAGCCACAATTAAGTACATATCTGGTCAAAACTGAGTTAAACAGGACAAGATTTTTTTTGACATCTGTTTTATCATACACAATTTACAGTACATGCTGCTGGAAGTGTTGTCTCCCTGCTGTACTAAACCCCCCACCCCACCCCACCCCACCCCACTATGTTCAGGCCTCTCTGGGCAGTGTTGTCAAAATTTTATGTTTAGAATTTGAATTACTGCTTGGTAGATTGTGAATTTTACACCAAGGATCAATACATCTTATGATTATACTGTATTTTGTTTTATTAACCTCATCCTGAAAAGTAGCTAGTAACTAAATGTATCAAATAAATGTAGTGGGTACAAACATTAGTGAAGTCAAAGTATGAAGTAGCAGAAAATGAAAATACTCAAGTAAAGTACAGATACCTCAAAACTGTACTGAAGTCCAGTACTTGAGTAAATATACTTAGTTACTTTCTACCTCTGCACTTAGGAACAACATCTCTTGAACTGAACTTGACTCTCCTCAGGGACAGGGCTGTGTTTTGTGTAACTAGCCATCCACCCTAACGCGGACTCTGTGCCTCAGTATACCTTTATATTTACCTCGACAGTTTATATACCTTACTCCTTTTCTCATGCAGCGTGGTCGCTAGATGTCACCAATTATACCATGTAAATGAGGCAGTAGCTAGATCTAATGACAACGGGGAGAAAAATTCCAAGTCAACTTGTCCTGTTACACGTTTGCTTATCTTAGGAGAGTAGCAGTAGTGCTCTACAGCCTCTGACTCCAGTGGAATTTCACAGGATTTGACATATTACAAGTAGTTCACTGAAGATGAGTTTTATTAGCTCACATGGACAAAATGGTTTTGAAGAATTCATACATGTATTGTTCATAGTGTGTTTTCCTTGTGTCCTGTAGATTGTTATCTAAATTTTTTTCTTCTGTAAATATGATAAAAAAAGGTTTCACAACTTTAGCTTCAAAACTTTTTTTCTTAAAGTCACTACAGTTACAGCTCTCTGCCTTTGTCAGGCCATATAAATATTGAAATAATTTTCTATTTATTACATTTAAAGATGTTACTAATTATTATTGCTATTTCCATCTATAAGTCACATAAAGGCAGAAGGGCAACATAACATAAATGTGTTTCAGATTAGTGACCTGTGTGCCTACTGTATACCGTTACACCCTCAGACCTGACTGGTTTCCACAGAGCCTCCATAACCCTCTCACCTTGTAAAAAAAGAAACCTCGGAGCTCTTCGTTGTTTTGCCTTCCTCTAAAAACCAAACATCTTTGATAACAACCTCCTATTAGAGACGTACTATGTACTCCGCTGTAAGCACATGCACATATGTGACATGTTCTGACCTCCAGCTTTAACCTGTCACTACTGTGGTGCCTGATTGCAGGAGCGAGGTTAAAAACAGTCCATTAAATCACCACTGGCTCAATAAAAGACACCTGCAATGTAAGAGGAGATGCAGGACAGAGAGACAGAACACCAGGAGAGCTGCATGATCACTACCAGACACTGAGCACACGTAGCATGGATCACCATGCTACAGCATACATGCATTCAGAGCAGTGTGAAAACTGGTTTTGTAGCTTTGCTTTAATCGTCCTCGCAGCATTCTGTTGACAGAGTTTTAATATCTTCAGTATACAAGAAGCTTCAGGACATAATGCCATGTCCTCAAATTACTGTATGTTTTGCTTTTTAATCTGTATTAAGTCCTTAATCTGCGATTGTCTGTGAATAAACTTAATTTAACTTAAAATGCTTTACTTTCATCTCCTCCTCCTGTTCCTCAGTTTAATCACACTTCATTTAAAGCTTCATACACATTAAATGTACGTGTCTTGTTAAATGTGTTCTCCTCCCCTTTCTGACAAACTATTTCACTCTTTCTATTTCACAGT